TACCTGTTATTACCTGTTATTACCTGCTATTATCTGTTATTACCTGTTATTACCTGTTATTACCTGTTATTACCTGCTATTATCTGTTATTACCTTTTATTACCTGTTATTATCTGTTATTATCTGGTTATCAGGTGTGCAGACATCATAGAACACAGCAAGACCTTCATGCTATTACCTGTTAGTTATTACCTGCTATTATCTGTTATTACCTGTTATTATCTTTTATTACCTGTTATTATCTGTTGTTACCTGTTATTACCTGTTATTATCTGTTATTACCTGGTTATCAGGTGTGCAGACATCATAAAACACAGCAAGACCTTCACCTGTTTGTTATTATCTGTTATTACCTGTTCTTACCTGTTATTATCTGTTATTATCTGTTATTACCTGTTATCTGTTATTATCTGGTTATCAGGTGTGCAGACATCATAAAACACAGCAAGACCTTCATGTTATTACCTGTTATTATCTGTTATCACCAGTTATTATCTGTCATTACCTGTTATTATCTGTTATCTGGTTATCAGGTGTGCAGACATCATAAAACATAGCAAGACCTTCATGTTATTACCTGTTANTTATTATCTGTCATTACCTGTTATTATCTGTTATCTGGTTATCAGGTGTGCAGACATCATAAAACATAGCAAGACCTTCATGTTATTACCTGTTACTACCTGTTATTATCTGGTTATCAGGTGTGCAGAATCACAAAACACAGAAAGACCTTCATGTTATTACCTGTTTGTTATTACCTGTTATTATCTGTTATTACCTGTTATCACCTGTTATTATCTGGTTATCAGATGTGCAGACATCACAAAACACAGAAAGACCTTCATGTTATTACTTGTTATTATCTGATATTACCTGTTATTATCTGTTATTACCTGTTATTATCTGGTTATCAGGTGTGCAGACATCACAAAACACAGAAAGACCTTCATGCTATTACCTGTTTGTTATTACCTGCTATTATCTGTTATTACCTGTTATTATCTGTTATTACCTGTTATTACCTGGGTTATTAGGCGAGCAGCTGTGAGTTCAGGTGATGTGATGTGATGAAGGAGCAGATGGACTCGCTCTGATTTGAGTTTGAAAGCTTTTTTAACCATTAGCTGCAGTTTTTTTCTCGTTGTTTTGTTTCCAGATGTGAAACATTGCATGTTTTAAACCTCAGCTATAAATAAAAACAAGAAGTAATTCGGAGCAGCCCGTCCTGAATCCTGACTTCATGTGTTTCAGTGCAGACTCACTAAAACATGAAGCTGTTTTCATGTTTTCATGACGTACGGCTGTAAAGTGTGGATGATGACAGATCAGAAACATCACACCAAACTGAAAGGACAACATTTTCCTTGTCTGTGATTTTAGTAAAATATTAAATAAACTACTCAAAGGAAATATTTACTGCATGTAAATAAGCATAAATGTGGTGAGCAAAATGTATGTTAAAAATAACATTAACTTAATTTAACTTTAATTTAATTTATTATTTCAGTTCATATTTCAGTAAATTTATTTCGATTGATCTGGGCCTCCTCAGCAGTTTTAAAAGTTTAACATAAAAATAATTAAAGATGATTACAACGTGAATAAAACTAAAAACCTTGATATTTAAAGTTGAATGAATCTCCCTCCAACCAGCTGCTGCCTCTGTTCTGCTCGGTTGTGTCGAAAAAGCAAACAGTTGTAAACGTGACGTTTTTGTTTCCATAATTTATTTGTCCCATCATCGCTGCTGATGAGCAGGGTACACATCATGAAGCCTCCCTGCTCTAATGGCACATTCAGCAGAGTTTTACAACAAACACAAACAGGTTTTTACAGCGTGGCGCCCGCTTCAGTGATGCTGGAACAGAACAACATGGCTGCTGCTGCTGGATCTGAGCACGATTACAACGGCTGGAAACACATGAAGCAAAGAAACAAAATGTGCTTCAGAAGCTGGAAGAACTCTGGACGATGTAAACAGATGAATCGATGAAATTCACTTGGAAATAGTGCTGAAATAACTCCTTATAGAAGCTGTTAATATGATGCAAAGTCTAAAAATGCTTCGAGATATTCAATAACCAAGAAGTGAGAGAAGGATATGAATAAATGGTGCAATATGAGGGCCAAAATTAAGACTATTGTGCTAGCCTATCCTATGCTAATGGCAGTTTATCCATGCTAGTCACTAGCATTTCCGATGCTAATGCCAGCTTATCCATGCTAGTTGCTAGCCTCTCCATTGCTAACACCAGTTTATCTATGCTAGTAGCTCGCCTCTCCAATGTTAACGCAGCCCCCCCCCCCATGCTAGTCGCTAGCCTCTCCGATGCTAATCCCAGTTTATACATGCTAGCTGCTATCCTCTATAATGCTTACACCAGTTTATCCATGCTAGTCTCTAGCCTCTCTGATGCTAATCCCAGTTTACCCATGCTAGGTGCTATCCTCTACAATGCTTACACCAGATTATCTATGCTACTAGCTAGCCTCTTCAATGTTAACGCAGGCTACCCGTGCTAGTCGCTATCCTCTCCGACGCAAATCCCAGCTTATACATGCTAGCTGCTATCTTCTATAATGCTTACACCAGTTTATCCATGCTAGTCTCTAGCCTCTCTGATGCTAATCCCAGCTTATCCATGTTAGGTGCTATCCTCTACAATGCTTACACCAGTTCATCAATGCTAGTTGCTAGCCTCTCCAATGCTAATTCTACATTACCCATGCTAGTCTCTAGCCTCTCCAATGCAAACAACAGTTTATCCATGCTAGTTGCTAGCATCTTAGATGCTAACACAAGCCCCCCATGCTAGTCACTAGCCTCCCCAATGCTAACGCAAGCTCACCATGCTGGTCGCTAGCCTCTCTGATGCTAATCCCAGCTTATCCATGCTAGGTGCTATCCTCTACAATGCTTACACCAGTTTATCAATGCTAGTTGCTAGCCTCTCCAATGCTAATGCTACATTACCCATGCTAGTCTCTAGCCTCTCCAATGCAAACACCAGTTTATCCATGCTAGTTGCTAGCATCTTAGATGCTAACACAAGCCCCCCATGCTAGTCACTAGCCTCTCCAATGCTAATGCAAGCTCACCATGCTATCTGATGCTAACACAAATGAATAGTCTCCTTCTCATTTTCCAGTATCAGCCTCTCAGTTAGCGGTGCCGGCCTATCATTAATCAGATCAATAGCTGGCTTAGGAACAGACATAGCTTCCTGCTACAAGGATGTAGTCTTAATTTTGGATCTCATACCGTGCCACAGTGAATATTTAAATTTATCTCACAGACGATGAGCTGCAGCTGACACGTTATTAGCAGTTCATTCAAACTGTCACAGTTTCAATGATTTGAATTCAGCCACCTTCTCTCTCTTTGCTTTCACTCACATCATACATATAGCAGCAAATTATTATTTTATTAATATCCTTTTAACATGTGGCGACATTCATGAGTATAAAAATGTCTAACAGTCAGCAGAGCCCAGAAAAGATCTTTAAATCTTTCACATTTCTCAGAGATGCTTCATAAATGTAAAAAAAAAAAATGAATAAATGAGAACACCACCCTGTTCTGACAGTCTTTTAAGACGTTTTAAAGGTTTATGTCTGAATGTGAACATTATAACTGGTTAACTGAACAGTTTAAGATGGAATAATTTCATTTCCCAGCATCTCAGACCAAAATAAAATAAAATAAAATAAAACATTTAGAAGTGAGGGAACTAGAGAAAATTCAGTCAATGGTGTTCAAATGAGCACAATTAATGTTTAACAGTGAAGCTGGGAAAAGCTGACTAATCACAAACTGATCCAATTACCTGAAACTCAGGTAATTGTAACTTTTTAGTTTCTTTATGAATAATAATAATAACCACTTTTAATCAAAACTGGTGCTTTTTCACTCTTTTAATTTACTGATTCTTTTTAAAACAAGCCCTACTTCTTAGGTTAAAGGGACATTTTAAAGCGATCTTCTGTGGAAAGGTTATTTTCTTGTCAGTGCAGTTTTAGCTGACCCACTGAGGAGGGATTTTAGCCTCTAAAATGCAATAAATTATTATAAATATATAAATTTTTATTAAAATTTAGATGTTGGTTCAAACAAACATTATTGTTTAAATGTTTGCTGTTACTGTTCGTTTATTTCAGCAGAAATATTAGGAACATCCAGCAGAAGGTGGCTCCAGGTGCTCAGACAGAACAGCCACTGTTTGTGTTCAGGAGGCGTGGCTATGTAGGGGGCGTGGCTGAACAAAACCCTGCCCACTTTTTGCCAAGGCCCATCCCAAGCTCACTTTTGTTTTATTCTTAATTCGGGCATTTATTTTTAATGTATTTCTTCTCAATAAAAATAATTTATAAATGATTTATAAATAAAAATAAAACATTAAATTGTAAACAATGTATAAATTATTATTTGTGGCAGTACATTTGATTAAAATAGACGGTACCGACATTTATCTCTACTTACTTTTCTAATAGTTTACCTGCATCATAAGGTAGAGAAGGTGTCAAACTCAAGACTTGACGGACAAATGTGGCCCGCAAGAGCTTTAAAGACGTATTAATGTCTTAAAATAAGCTTCTTTAAAACCATCTTTGACCATAAACTGCATTTCCCATAATGCATGTTGATTATTGTACTCGTGAAATGACAGCAGCCCACCACTAGGTGGAGCTGCACGGGATTCAAACATAGCAGGTAGCCGAAGAAATATGTGAAATCTCCATTTTACCGCATTTTCGCCAGGCACTTTCCCTGCAGCTTAGTTGTACTGGGAAGTGGGAATTTCCCACTTACATGTCATACATTTAAACTGCAGTGGAAATCCTCTTTGAACTGTTAGCTCTTCAGTTCTCTACTTCCACCAAACTGAACAGATTGCTACAACAGGTAAAGGCCTGATAACCGTTCCACAGAAGCTTGCATCAAAATGGCTGAAATATCCCTTTAAAATGGATTACCTGTCTCTGATGATGGGCCTTAGAAGATATTTAAAAGCATTGGTGGAACTTAGCTGCATGCATGAGCAGCCAAGCAGGCACAACACGAAGCGAAGAAGCTTTGTTTACGTCCCACATGAACGAAACACGAGTTCCTCTAATCCACCGTTCGTTCGTTTGCTGCGTTAGCATCCAGAAAACTGACAGTTATTATAAGAAAAACAGATTTGTTTTGTTGAGTCATGACACCGATGCTCTGCTGCACTGTATGTTTATGAAAAATTAAAACATTTCAATGAATATAAAAAGGTTTTCTCTGAGAGTAAAGGTGGTGAAATAGAAAAAGAAGAAGAAAAAAACACGACTCACAGTATAAAAGTAAGACACTTCCTGCTGTCACAGTTCAGAAGCTGAGGTACTCCATAAAACTTCTTGTTTCATTAAGAAAACTAATGCAAAAAAGGAAAAAAAGTTCAGACCAGCATTAATCAGGTGTATCCATGCAGCCAGACATGCACAGGACTGATGCAGGTCCTGCTAACGTCTCACAAACCAAACCAGAGTGGTCTCTGCTGAAACCTGAAGGAATGCACCGACACCAGGATCACACATCTGTTCAGACTCATACACGCTCTGCAGCTGAGCTTCTTAAAGGGTTTACTGGTTTTATTTTTGTCTTTATTTGAGCTGGCTGTCCTGAGGACCCTCTCAGTTGTTGGAGTAAGCCTCACCAGGAGACGCTGTGTGGAAGTGGTGACAAAAGTAAAACAGACACAAACTGAGCTCAGCACGGATGTCAAGAGGAGAAAAACTGGCACTTTGACAACAAACGATTTGATTTAAAAAAATAAACATGACACGAGGCCAAGTGCAAAGAGTTCGCTAACAACAAGGGGGAATCATCCAAGTGTGACACACAAACACACACACACACCCTCCAGCTGGAAGGTAATGAGAAGGTTTTGGCGCCGAGGAGTGTGGCACTCGTTTAAAAAACCTTCACTGTGGTCCACTCCTGCCTCAGAGACGTTCAGGGACAGCAGGTAATTCAGACCTCATCAGGAAGTAGAGCCACAGGAAGTGATCAAACTACAGCCAATCATCGAGGAGAGGAGCATTCTGGGAAGACGCAGATCTAAGCACAAGTTCCCAACGACCTCACTACTACTGTTGTCCTGACTCCTCCGATTGTCAACTCTGCATCGGCCAGTATGTGTACACACTGAAAACTGCCAGGTTAAAATAATCCTGTTTATGGGTTGCTGATGACGTAGTGTTGACGTCAGGAAGAGCAGATGGCCTTCGCGCTAGTGCCGAGCTAATACATATAAGATAGTATAGCATCTGGGCTAACGCTAAAGCTAACAGGCTAAGCTGAGGTTCTTCTTCCATGAAGCAGCTCTGTTGTCCTCCATCCATATTTTCAGTT